TTCAGTCAGGTTCGTTACGTTTACTTACGAGCAAATATCCTTGAGGCAGGTATGAATTCATCCTCCTACCTATGGGTTGAATAGACTGGGTCCTATAGCCTTGTTTGGCAACTAGAAACGGCGACCTTCTGTGATAAAAAAAAAATCAAACTTCTGTCTTGCCAGTCAGGAATCGAAACAGATATGATCCCCGAAAACCTGTAGCGTTTAACTGATTATCTTGACAGTAAAATTGAAACAAACGGTTTATATTACGGAAAGATTGTATTAAACATACCAAAATCTTATTCACTCTCATAAAGGAGGTCTGAAATCAGAAATGTATGCTGAAAATGCAGGATTTATCGCGACCCTTCGCCTAAGCGTGTATCCACTCATGGCACATAACTGACTTAGGAGGCACAGTGGAGTAATTGATAGCGTCTCGGATTCCAGTTGAATCCATAACATCCACTTACGTGCTAATGCCCTTGGGAAAGGTATGCATCCTCTTCTTCTTCCCAGCCCCAGCTATAGCTAAATAGCCAGACAGACCGGCTTTTGATGACAACTGGTCTACTGCAGAAAGTAATGGCAACCTACTGCCGCGTCAGTTATGCATCGAAAGATACATGATCGCCTAAGCGTGTATCACACATGGCACATGACGGACTTAGGAGGCAAAGTGGAGTAATGGATAGTGGATCGGATTCCATTTGAATCGATTACATTAACTTACGGGCTAATACGCTTGGGAAAGGTATGAATCCAGTTCTCCTCCTCCAGCTATGAGTACATAGCAGGACGGACTGGGTTCTATAGCCTTTGATGGCGACTGGCCTACCGCATAAAGAAATGGCAACCTACTGCGGGAAAAATAATCTGCCTCGTCAGTCATATATCGAAAGATACATGATCGCTTACGCGTGTATCACGCATAGCACATAACTGACTGAAGGAGAGTAATGATGGCATATATTTTCAGCAATGTGTTAAATAAAAGGACAGTTTCGCTTCTATAGCCTTGGTTGGAAACCAGTCTACCGCCGAAAGAAACTCTAATTCACTGTCTGGTCAGTCATAAATCGAA